GGGGCCAGTGTGGCGAAGGAGTGCGGGGCAGGAGCGCGGGGCGGTCCCTCTGCTGGGCTCTGTGGGCAACGGAGGAGTCAGGACCAAGCCAGCATGGAACTGGGACTCCTGCTCTAGCACCTGCAGCCCCACACTTCCCCGCAGCTGCCCTGGCCGTGGGGCCCTGGTGGCCGTCCATGAGCCCTGCGGTCTCCCCAGGAAGAAGACCTTTCCTCCGCTTAGGGCTTCTGAGTCTAGGCCGAGGGCTCCCCGACGGTCTTGGCCACTTCTGCGTCCTGAGTTTGCCCGTGCGTAGCTGCCCGGGGTCTGTAGGGTGATGGAGTCTGTGTTTTGTAGGATGGACCTCAAGTTCGTTCAGGCTGCCTGTACCTGTACAGTTTCAATGAGGACAGCTCTGGGACGCCCCTGGTTGAGGTCCAGAGAAGAGATACCTCCGCAATCCTGGACATGAAATGGTACACTTTTGGTTAAGTCTACTTCAGAATTTGTCGCAAGCTGCTTTCTGTTCATTAACCAGGTGTGCCTCCTGCCCGAGGGCTTGAAGAGACAGGCAATAACTCATCTCTGGATCTTGCTCTTTTCTCTCCAACCCATCTATTGCTTTTTCTTTTTTTTTTTTTGGTCAGTCCTGGGCTTGAACTCAGGGTCTGGGCTCCGTCCCTGAGCTTCTTTTTGCTCAAGGCTAGCAATCTGCCACTTGAGCCACAGTGCCCCTTCTGTCTTTTTCTGTGTGTGTGGTGCTGAGGAATGGAACCCAGGGCTTCATGCGTGCTACGAAAGCACTCTACCGCTGAGCCTCCTTCCCAGCTCCACCCACCTTCTGGCAGGCAGAGGGCACTTCACTTGGGCACATCTCCCTGGTCAGTTTCGCAGCCCAAAGTCAAAACTGGTCTGGGAAGTGTTACTTCTGACTTCATAAGCTGGAGAACACATTGTTTAGGAACAAAATCATGGCTTCCAACCTGCTTTCATGCTGAGACTTGAGTAGTAAATCACCTGCCTGCACAATGCTCTTCTGAGCGTCCTGTATCTTCACATGTGGTTCTCTCCTCAGGTGCCACATTCCTGTGGGAGGCCATGCTCTTCTAGGAGTGGCCAATGCCAGTGGGTCTATAGAGTTGCTTCGCCTGGTGGGGTCTGAGGTCAGTGATGATGGAAAGGCTGCGGGGCGGGGAAGAGACCTGAGTGGGGAGCATTGGGGAGGGGAGTACGCGGATACAGCAGATACATCTGTTTTTGTCAGTCGTGGGGCTTGAACTCTGGGCCTGGGTGCAGACCTTGGGCTCTTCAGCTCAAGGCAAGAGCTCTGCCACTTGAGCCACAGCACCACTTTTTTTTTTCTGGTGGCTTATTGGAGATAAGAGTCTCACGGACTTTCTTACCTAGGCTGACTTTGAACCGCAATCTTCAGATCTCAGCCACCTGAGAGGTGAGGATTACAGTTGTGAGCCACCAGCACCCAGCTAGTGGATTGTCTTAAGGTTCTAAGAAAGCATGAAATCTGTTTTAAATCATACTGGGCTCTGGTGAGAGGAAGGGCTGTCATAATAAACTGCTATTGTATAGAAAGGTAGGGCAAGCTTGACCTGAGTTGATGCTGGGGATAAGAACAGCAGATTCCCTGGATGCACCTGTTATTTCTCTTGAGTATCGAGAGAATGTAACGTTTCCTATGTGTGATCACTGCCCCCAAATGCTTTATAGTGGTCCTGTACAATGCTTTTGCATAACTGGTTATTATGTTTGCAGAAGTCTGCTGTAGTGCGGTGACATCAACAGCCCACAGGTCTTGTCCTAACAGGGAGGCAGGGACATGCACAGAGCCAGAGCATAGGTCCAGCAGGCATTGGTTCATGGCACTTAAAAGCCTGTGTAGAAAGTATCTTGCTTTAGGTTAGCTTTGTACTAGAAATGGGGGAAAGGACTGTCTACAGAAGATTGGACCCAAGGACCAGGTTTTAAGACAGGAAAACAAATACCCAAGCAAGGACTTTGGTCCTTTCTCCAAGTCAAGTGCTCTCTGGGTTGTTTAGGTAATAAAACTCCGTAAATCTGGGGCTGGGAAGGTGGCTTAGTGGCAGAGTGTTTACCTAGCATGCATGAAGCCCTGGGTTCCATTCTTCAGTACCACATACACAGAAAAGGCCAGAAGTGGCTCTGTGGCTCAAGTAGTAGAGTGCTAGTCTTAAGCAAAAGAAGCTCAGGGACAGTGCCCAGGCCTTGAGTTCAAGCCCCCGACTGGCAAACAACAACAAAAAATCATAAATCTTTTTGTTTAATTTACTTTATAAGAGAAGGAGTGTGAGTCTATGTTTTGGTAGTAGGGCTTGATAAACTTACATACCAAGCTTTTGAGTTCTTGCTTGGTGTTTTTAAGAGGTAGCAGTTTAATGGCTGTGTGGTTTTGGAAAAACACATGTTCCCACCTCTGGGACAGCCAAGATTCCCAGAGGCTCTGCGGGCCTCAATGGCGGAGCCTGCAGCGGTAGTTGAAGGTTGTAGGTGTATAGAGGTCAAGTGTGTGGCAGAGTCCTCAGGTGTGAACCAGTCCATCTTGAGATCCTACTCAATGCCTGGGACAGGACAGGGTGTTTAGTGTCAGGTGTACTCTCCTTGGCAGATTGCTTGCCTAGCATGCACAAAAAACAACAAAAAACCCAAACAAACCCAAACCAACACCAACCAGGTGTAATGGTACATGTCTGGCAGTTTCATTAACTCCGGAGATTGAAGTGACAAGTGTACTTGAGCATGTAAAGTCCAGACTGGCCTGGGTAGCGCAACCAGGCCCTATCTCTAAACAAACAAGCTTGTTAGTAGCTGCCACATGTTGCTTGTGTGTAAAGTAACTGAGGAACAGAGGGCTGCTTGGACAAAGAGTCTCTTTCTCTCCAGCAGAAGAGCAGTTACACCCTACAGCCAATATCCAGCCTTACTGTGGAGGAGCAGGGTTTGTCCTTGTCCCTGGACTGGTCTACTGGGAAATCTGGAAGGTAAGGAGGCCAGATGTGGTCAGGGACCCTGAGGACCAGATCTTGGTTCCACACCAGAGAGAACTAAAGCCTCTTTCTGCAAGTCTTAATTCCTTAAACTTGGATGGACTGTCACTGATCCTAACAGAAAATCCTTGCACATCACCATCAATGTGGTAGGTTTTTTTGTTTTTGTTTTTGTTTTTGGGTCCGGTCATAGGGCCTGAACTCTGGGCCTGGGCACTGTCCCTCAGCTCTTCAGCGCAAGGCTAGCGCTCTACCACTTGAGCCACAGCGCCACTTCCGGCGTTTTTCTTTTTGCTTATGTGGTGCTGAGGAATCAAACCCAGGGCCTCAGGCATGCAAGGCAAGCACTCTACCACTGAGCCACCTTCCCAGCCTATGATAATGTTTTTATCAAGAGAAGCTAACACCAATTTCTGTGACAAACTAAATGATAGTTTAGGCCTTTGCCACATAAACAGTGAAACCTCTCAAATGTGAAGGGTCTCTCCTAGGACATGTTTGGGAACAGGAGAGGGTAGTGAGACCTGAGTGTGGTGACATACACAGTGATTCCAGGTTTTGGGAAGCCAAGGAAGCAGGATTGCAAGTTCCAGGCTGCCAGCCTCACTGTACAGACTAGACCCCGACACTCTGGTCTCCAAAACAGAGAGGGTGGGCGCTGGGAGTGTGGCTCAGTGGTATAGTGCTGGCCTAGCATGCATGAAGCCCTGGGTTTGATTCCTCAGCACCACATAAACAGAAAAGGCCAGAAGTGGCGCTGTGGCTCAAATGGTAGAGCACTAGCCTTGAGCAAACGAAGCTCAGGGACAGTGCCCAGGCCTTGAGTTGAAGCCCCAGGACTGGCCAAAAAAAAGAGGAGTTTAATATGCTCTTCATTGAGTTTAATACACTCTACTAATGAGTAGAGTTTAATATGCTCTTCATTGGCTCCCTGCATCTAGGGTCAGTGACCAGCCCTTGAACATCATCAGCAGTGACTCCAAGGGGCAGCTGCACCTCCTGACGGTGAACGAGGCAGGGTCTGGACTGCAGTGCGTGGCCTCCTGGCAGGCACATCACTTTGAGGCCTGGGTTGCTGCTTTCAATTACTGGCAAACCGACATTGTGTACTCAGGTCAGCACTCCTGCACTGGACATTGGGGCAGTGCCATTCGTCTCCAGAGGAAGACGTTCTTGCGTAGTGCTGGTAATGGGGCCTGACTCGGGGTCTGTGCCCTTTCTCTGGTTTTTCCCTGGCATTCTATCACTTGACCCATGCTTCTAGTCTGGCATTTGGCTGGCAAATTGGATACAGTTTCAGTTTTTTTCCCTAGGTTGGCTTTGAACCTCTGTTCTCTGGATCTCAGCCTCTTCAGTAGCTGGGGCTTAGAGGCCTGAGCTACAAGTGCCTCGCTTCAAAGTAAAACCTTTTTTGTTGATTGAGGAAGGCTTTGGGGAGAGGGCGACAAGTGGGCTGGTGATAAGGCAGTAATTTGGGGTGACTGGCAATGGAGGGTGTGCCATGGCTAGAACTGTGTCCTCTCCAGGAAGTTTCCACAGGCTCTCCGCAGGCTGGCTGGAGTTGGAGGGAGCAAGCGCCCTGTGGGCTGCCGTGTACCCACAGTGCTCTGGGGTAGAGTGCTGGCTTGCATTCTGTCCCAACTTGGTCATATTAGATTGCAGGTGGATGGCTTCCTGGATGTAGCTCTTCTCCCAAAAGGACAGGACACATCAAAATAGATGTGTCCTGGTCTTTTGAATGGTTTGTACTTGGGGATGCTGGTAAGGAAATGAAAAATGGACAGCACTGGCCATTTGGGCAGTTTTGCTCTCTGGTCAAGCTGACTCATGAGCCAGGCTGTGCTCTGGACAGAGGAGCTGCTAAATTCTGCCTTTTATGCCCTGGTTTGGCATAAAGAAATGAACCTGTCCCCTCCCCCCAACACTAGAGTAGATAAATTCCAGAATAAGAGGCTTCTGGTCCCCAGTGTGTGTGTGTGTGTGTGTGTTTGTCAGTTGTGGGGTTTGAACTGTGGGCCTGGGCGCTGTCCCTGCGCTCTTCAGCTCAAGGCACTCTACCTCTTGAGCCACAGTGCCACTTCCCATTTTCTGGTGGTTAATTGGAGATAAGAGACTCACAGACTTTCTTGTCCAGGCTGGCTTTGAACCGTGATCCTCAGATCTCAGCCTCCTGAGTAGGATTAAAGGCGTGAGCCACCAGAGCCCAGGCCATTTACAGCTCTTTGGTGGTTAAAGAGAGATAGAGTCTCAGCCCTGCCGGGCACTGGTGGCTCACACTGAGCTTATATTGAATGGAGGGAGATGGAAAATAAGCCTGAGGCATAATGTATAATGAGGAAGGTGCACAGGATGTCAGAAGCGGCAGTGGTGGACAGAGAAGGTAGAAGAGGTGTGCTGGGCAGGTGTGGTGATTGCCCTGATGTGGTGCCAGGCTGGCGGGCAGCGTCTACACAGGCACAAGTGGGCCTGGTCCTGTAGAAGGGCAGCTGGCATGTTCAGCATAGAGTTGCAGGGGTTGAGGTCAGAGGCAACACGTCCAGGTCCCAGAGCCTTGCAGGTTACACCAAGGACGCTAGCTTCTACTCATAGTGAAAAGGAGTTACTTCAGGGTATTAAGCAGAGAATGATGTGTTTGGAACCCAGAATCTTGTTCTTGTTAGTAAGCCACTACTTGAGCCATGCCCACAGCTTTATTTTTCCAATAAGGTCTCATGTTTTTACCTGGGACTGCTGGCCTAGACTGCAATCATAGCTGCATACCACCATGTCCAACTCATTAGTTGAGATGAAGTCTCACTAACTTTGCTTTTTTTTTTTTTTGTGCCAGTCCTGAGGCTTGAATTCAGGGCCAGGGCACTTTCCCTGAGCTTCTTTTGCTAGGGCTAGTACTCTACCACTTGAGCCACAGCACCAATTCTGGCTTTTTGTGTGTATGTGGTACTGAGGAATTAAACCCAGGGCTTCATGCATGCTAGGCAGGCGCTCTACCACCTTCCCAGCCCCAAGTCTAAGGCCTAGGCTGGCCTTGAACCATGGTCTTCCTTATCTCCACCTCCCAAATAGCTGTTACAGGGTCCACACTGTACTTGATAAATACTATTGGATGGATGAATGGTAGACAGGTGGATGGAAGATGGTGGATAATAGAGGATGTATGGTGGGTGAGTAGATGGGTGATTGTGGGTGGTAGTGACATAGAAAGTCCTTGGAAATTTTCCTTCGTCAGCCTTTTTGTGGGTCTACTCTGAAGCTTTGTGTGTGTGTGTGTGTGTGTGTGTGTCGGTCGTGGGACTTGAACTCTGAGTCTGGGCACTGTCCCTCAGCCACAGTGCCACTTATGGTTTTCTGGTGGTTTACTGGAGATAAGAGTCTCACAGACTTTGCTGCCCAGGCTGGCTTTGAACCATGATCCTCATATCTTAGCCTTCTGAGTAGCTAGGATTACAGGTGTGAACCACTGGTGTCCCGCACTGAAGCCTTTTTCTTTGTTGTTGTTGTAGGGCTTGAACTCAGGGCCAGGGCACAGTCTCTGAGCTCTTTTACTCAAGGCTAGTGCTCTACCACTTTGAGCCACAGCACCATATCCAGCTTTCTGATGATTAATTGGAGATAAAAGTCTCACAGGGACTTTTCTGCCAGGGATGGCTTTGAACCACCAATCCTCAGATCTCAGCCTCCTTAGTAGCTAGGGTTACAGGCATGAGCCCACCTGCACCCTGCTTTCTGAAGCCTTTCCTTTTCTTAAACCTTTCTTCCCCCATCAGGATGTCTTGCTGTTGCGTTTCTTCCAAGACTGTTGTTTATCAGGATACCAAGCACCCAATTAGTGGCTATCCTTCAGTTCCTCTAAAATGAATGTGTAGGGGTGGGGGGGTGTCCCATCCTTCAGTTCCTCTAAAATGAATGTGTAGGGGTGGGGGGTGTCCTTTATTTTAAGGCTTTAAAGGGTATATTTGTTTTTGTTTTTGCCAGTCGTGGGGCCTGAACTCTAGGGCACTGTCCCTCAGCTTTTCAGCTCAAGACTAGCGCTCTACCACTTGAGCCACAGTGCCACTTCCGGCTTTTTTCCTGCATATGTGGTGCTAAGGAATTGAACTCAGGGCCTCATGCATGCGAGGCGCAAGCACTCTACCACTGAACCACCTTCCCAGCCCCGTTATATATGTTTATAGCCCAGTGGAGTGTTTTCAAGCTTCCAGAACCTTCTAGAGTTCTATGTCTACTGCTTCCTTCATGTTGTTCCCGGGCAGGGATCTTGGGATATGGCCACTCAGGCCCTGGGCAGCTGAGGCTCAGATTCTGGGGCCCTTTGAAGGCAGCATGGTCAGGTGTGACCTGCAGTGTCTATGATTTATTAGGGAGGCTGATGCCGGACCACTTTTTATTACTGCAGGCACAGCCATAGCCCATCGATTTCCTCTCTCGCTAAACCCTCCTCAACCTGAAGACAGGACACAGCAGTGACCTTTCCTGAAAGCACATGGGACATGCTGAGAAATGCCAATGCTGTCATCACTGCCACTGGTGATGGCTTCTCTGTGTCCACACAGGAGGGGATGATGGTCTTCTCAGAGTCTGGGACACCAGGACTTCTGGCACGTCTCTCTTTATCAGCAAGAGGTATTTGGCTTGGGTTTGGCCCTCTCGGCTCCTCTCCCAGGACCTTGCCCTTAGTGCCACCCTCTGTCTGCAGACATTCCATGGGTGTGTGCAGCATCCAGAGCAACCCCCACAAGGAGCACATTCTGGCTACAGGAAGGTGAGTCCTGCAGTCTGCGTTCTCTAGTCCTTACATCCTGCCACCTTCTCTCCACAAGGACTCTGATGTTCTGTTTGTAGCTCTCAATCCATAGCGCAGGTATCTGGGTCTGGAGAGAGGGGCCGTTGTCTGCAAGGGGTGAGTGGGATGGGTTCCTGGGAGGCGCTCCCTGCCATTGAGGGGCCTTGAGGAAGTGAGCCCTGACTTTTCTGCACAACTCTGGTTGGATGTTCCAGCTATGATGAGCACATTCTACTGTGGGACACTCGGAACATGACCCAGCCGTTAGCTGACAGGCCCGTGCAGGGTGGGGTGTGGAGGCTCAAGTGGCACCCAGTCCACCACTATCTTCTCCTGGCAGCCTGCATGCATGGTGGCTTCAAGATCCTCAACTGTCAGAGGGCTATGGGTGAGTAGGGGTGCACAGCTGGCCTCTAGGCAGGAAGTCTGTCCAACTTCCCTGCACTTACAGGCCACACCCATGCCTTGCCCCTGTATCAGAATCAGACCTCAGTTTTAAAAACCTACTGTCTTAGCTAGGCATCGGTGGCTCACACAAATCCTAGCTACTGAAAAGGCTGAAGATCACAGTTTGAAGCCAGCTGGGGCAGCAAAGTCCATAAGACTTGCTTCTACTTAATCACCAAAAAGCTGTAGCTTTTTGGAGCTGTGGCTCCAGTGGTAAAGCACTAGCCTCCTGAGTAGCTAGGATTACAGGTGTTAAATCACTGGCAGCAGTGACTGGTTAAAAGCCAGCCATGTGCTGACTCCTCCAGCAGCTTCTTACACCATGCAGAACAAAATCTCAGCCTGCTCACGCCTATAATCATGAGGCTCTACAATTCAGGACATTGAGAACTGTAGAATCACAGTTGAAGCCAATTGGGGTAGAAATGTCTGTTAGACTCTGTCACCAAAATAACTGGCAAAAAGCAGGGCTAGGGGCATGGATTAAGTAAGAGAGCCAACTGAGCCAGCAAGCTGAATAAGCACAAGCCTCAAGTGCCGCTAAACCTCAGCAGCAAAACAAAAAACAAATCAACAGAAAAAATAGACCCTCAGTTCTGAGCTTCTGTGGGATTCAGCCTGGTCTTAACTCTGGCTGCATCTTTACCTTGCTTCTTGCACATGCCCACCACCCTCCTTGCGGTCACTTCAAGCCTGGATGGCTGCTAGATTTCTAAGCAGACAGCTCAGCTCACTTCCTCCTAGTTCTTGAGCTTGTTCCAGCTTTGGCCCTGCCCAGCTGGCTGCGGTGCCATGTGGCTACACACTGGATTGCTGTTCAGGCTTCTTTCTGACCCTGCTATCACCCTCCAAACGGCATTCAGAATTTCAAATTTTGAGGTGTATCTCCCTATGAAGATTTTGCCAAGTTTTCCAGCTTGGAGAAATACTCCTCACATTTGTTTCTACAGCTCTAGCTTTTGTTCTGAGGTACACGTTGTGAGAAACATGTCCTTGTCCTAGTGATTCTTCTGCACATGTGCTAGCTGCCCCGTGAACTTTTCCTGAGGGAGCAGCTGTTCTTGTTGGAGTGAGGCTCCCTTTGGAGGTGGTTGGAGGCCGTCATTGGGAGTGATTTCTGTTTCTTGTTCTTTCTCTTGCTCTAGAAGAGAAGCAGGAAGTGACAGTGTTGGTGTCTCACACATTGCCCAATTCACTGGTGTATGGGGCTGACTGGTCCTCGCTCCTCCAACCCATGCAGCCCAGACCCTGCACCTTTCCTCCATGTGACACGGGAGCCAGGGTGGCAGACCAGGTCTGCAGCCGGAAGGTTGCAAGTGGACTACTAGCGTCCTCATTTGAGCAAAGAGTGGACACAGTGGACTCAAGTAGCAGCTGGTGCCAGCATCACACTACTGCCAAGATCTGTGACTCGGACCTCCAGTCCGAAGGGGAAGATTTTGACATCCACTTCCTGGCCACCTGCTCCTTTTATGATCACGTCCTCCACCTCTGGAAGTGGGAGGCGAGCTGAGCCTGACCACCTGACTTGGTGCCAGCCCTTCTGGCTGGGCCTTTGTGATTGTACCTGACAGTGGAATGGTATTGCCCAACTACCTAATTTTTAAGCTGTATTTTGACTTTCAGCCCATCATACATTTAAGCAATTGTTTATACTAAATTCTTTTTATTACCTTGTAACATGAAAAAGTTTGTTGTAGTTTTTATTTTTTTGGTGCAGTGTTTCTTTGTAGAATAAAAGGTGTATACATATTCTAGTCACTTTGTGTCTGTTGGTTCTAGGGCTCCTACTGGGTTTTTTCACTCCTAGCTGGCACTCTTAGCACTCAAGCCACACCTTCACTTTCTGCTTCTTGCTGGTTAATTGTGATATTGTTCCTAGCCTCAACCCCCAGCCTCCTAAGTAGCTAGGATTTAAAGGCATGAATCACTGATGCCTGCCTTGTGCCACTATTGAATCTTAGATTGTCAGCAGGACACACATTTAGAAAACATGGGTTCTAGCCCTTCCTTTCTATGTTGGAACTAAATCCCAGAACAAGCACCTGGTAGTGCTCTACCAGCACCTCCCCATCCCCCCATCTTGTTTATCATGATACCAAACAACCTGCTAACATAGATCAGTTTGGTTACAACACACTTTTCTGTTAAAATGGCAATTTTCTTAGTGGCCACTTATTTTAAATAAGATCTATCCTTGTAAATCTATTTTCTGAATTTGTGTTGTGGACAAAGTTCAGGGTCAGCTAAGCATGAATTCCCAATACCCATTTGAGGGACTGTGAAATAGGCAGACACTGGGCGTAAGAGAGCCCAGTTTAGTACCAACTGTCTGAACGGCCTCTCTTTTTTTTGGCAGTACTGATGTTTGAATTCAGAGCCTTAAGCTCACTAGGCTTGCTTGTTCCTTGGACTAGTGCTTTACCGATTAAGCCACACCTCCAGCCTGACTTTTTGTTATTTTGGAGATGGAGTCTGGCAGCCTTTTATGCTTGAACTGGCTTTGAACCACAACCTTCTAGATTCATCCAAGGAAGCATGAGGCCCTGACTTCAAGCCCTGATACTCACCCCCCCCCCAAAAAAAAAATTCCCAGCTGGGCACCAGTGGCTCAAGCCTATAATCTTAGCTACTCAGTAAGCTGAGATCTGAGGATCCCGGTTCAAAAGCCAGCTCAGGCAGGAAAGTCAGTGAGACTTTTATCTTCAATTAATCACTGAAAAAGCCAAAAATGCCAGGCATTAGTGGCTCACATCTGTAATCCTAGCTACTCAGGAAGCTAAAACCTGAGGATTTCGGCTAAAAGCCAGCCCAGGCAAGGAAAAGTCTGTGAGACTTATTGCCAAGAAACCACCAGAAAACCGGAAGTGGCGCTATGGCTGAAGTGGTAGAGTGCTTGCCTTGAGCTGAAGAGCTGAGGGACAGCCTCCAGGCCGAGTTCAAGCCTCAGGATGGGTGGGAAAAAAACAAAACCAGAACATTTCCCTTTCACTTGGCTAAGAGTACATGCTGTTTGGAATAGGACTTTTTTTTTTTTTTTGCTAGTCCTGGTGCCAGCACCACTTCTGGATTTTTCCTGCTTGGCTGGCTTTGAACCGTGATCCTCAGATCTCAGGCTTCTGAGTAGCTAGGATTACAGGCATGAGCCACCTGTGTTCCGCCGGATTGACTGTCTGGGTTATGTGTGAGCTGAGTGCTGTGTGTGTTTGCCAGGAGCAATCTTCCAGACCTTAGGAGACTTCCAGAGCTGTGCATGCTGGGTAAGTGCTTTGCCACTTGAGCCACACTCAAACCATTTTTTGCTTTCGTTATTCTCTGGATAGGGTTTCACACTTTGGTCCTTATCCGCTTCAGACTTCCATCTTCCTACGTATGCCTTCTAAGAGATTACAGGTGTGTGCCACTATGCCCAGCCTCGTGCCACACTTTCAACGATCATATTCCAAACGCACTGTACAGGGTAACAAAGGCCTTTAATAGACAAGCATGAAGACGCTTCCCCATGCCTCCCCAGAGACTGGTGATCTGAGGTGGGGTTAGTATGGGCTCCTGTGGAGAGAAGCCTGTGGACACTGCTTTCTAGCGTGGGAAATTCTTGGGATACAGCTGGAAGAGTTTGCCCTCCTGGGTGGGCTCGAAGCCATACTTCTCAAGGCGGTCGGGATCGAACGCGCCTTTTTTAAAGTCCTTTTCGATAGCAGGTGCAACGGCTTCCAGGAAGAGCGCTCTGGCAGTGAGCGGCGTCTCGGTGCCTGCGGGAGTGCGGTAATTCACGTAGGGCTTGAGCTTGAAGCCAGTCAGGTCTGGAACCACGAACTCCGGGACCATTTCCTTGATCTGCACGAACTTGCGGCCGGGGGCGAGGACGCCGGTTCTCTTGGCGCCCCGGCTCTTGTAGAAGGTGCGCGGCCCGCGCTTGCTGGTCCACCGGCTCATCCGGTCGGCGCCGCGCACCAGGCCCTGCGTCACGGCCGTCAGGAAGCCCATGCTGCGCCCTGCGGGGGGGACGGCGTTCAGGCGGAGGACCCG